ATATTCTCGGAATTGGCTTCCTCATTGGTCATGATTAACTGAACAGTATTAAAGTTGTATAAGATGACGATTGACAAGTGGCTTTTTATGTCGAAATTGGTAAAAGTATTCGCTTTTCGTTGTCTGAGGGTGATTTGGAGTTTATTTCTTCGTTTTCTAAAACCCAAGCAAAATTGTCATGTATTTTCATTATGTATTTGTTTTTCTTTTTTTACATCGTTCAAACATTTTGGTTATTCTCGGAACTATCTTCCTTATTTGGTCATTATTGTCTGTGAAATAAAAGTGCTGTGCGGCAGAAGTTTGAGAACTAGTTTTGCACTTGTTCATGATGTCGATGTCTGAGGACGATTTGGGGCTTATTTCTGCTGGTTTCACGGCTGTTCTCGGCTATCATGTTGTCCCACCGAGTCGTGGTATTGGTTTGCCTAAACTTAACACCCAGGAAGTGTCAAGAGTGTTTAAGTGCACGTATGTACCACGTTCGCTGGAGGGCATTGATCCTGGAGAAGTGTTTGAGATTAATGCAATATGTATAAATGGTTGTCAAATAACAGTACAAGTAACAAACGACCACACCATCGCTGATATCAAGGCTGACGTTGAGATCAAACACGGCATCGACTCGAATCACGTCAGACTGATGTTTAATCGGAACCAAGTGGAAGATCACCAAAGTGTCCGAGACATTGGCATTCGAAGGGGTGGGAGATTGCATTTTATGTTAAAACTTAGAGGAGGTGGCCCTGATTTTCAGTTGGACATTGATCTATTGGACCCACCGTACGACTATGATTTAACCGACGTTGAGGATAATGGGAAAGATTATCGTCGAGGTGGAAGAGAGTACAAGAGGCCATATGGATGGAAGAGGTTTGCCTTGAAGGTTCTTGGCAAATATGAAGATGACACTTGGTTTGGAACAGACGGAATACGTACACAGGAAAACCAAGGTGAATGGCCTGTAAGCTACCACGGGACAAACATGCAGTCAGCCCGAGCAATCATGGCGTCTGGCTACATGGCCGGTCCAGGTCAAAAATATGGTAAAGCGGTCTATTCCAGTCCTTCCCTTGATATGGTGGAACAGCGCTATGCAAAAATCTTTGAACATGATGGTAGCACTTATAAGATCGCACTTCAAAACCGTGTCAATCCTTCTCCAGGCCACTTTCAAGTCATTTCTGCTGAGGAGACAGGGACAGGGGCTGAGTATTGGTTATCACCGAAACATGACACGGGGAATAACATTCATGATATTAGGGCTTATGGTCTTTTGTTCAAGAAAGTAAGTGATAATAGTAATGCCGTTGTTTACAATACGGTTCCGAGTTGTAACTTACAGTAAGGCATCTGAGATACAGAAAACACAGCACGGACACAGAAAAATACAAGACAAGAGACAAGACAAATGGTAAATTCACCCATGTCCATTAGAGATATAATCTGTGATAATGGACTGTTATAGCAATCCATAAACTCAATGTGCAAAGCATATTTAACACTAACCAGCAAGTACACTTAGTAACTCGAGATTGTTAATAATCTTTAGATGGATAGCGAGTTGGTAACATATCCACTGTAGCCGATTTTATTTATAGCAATTATTATAGCTAGCGGTTTCTAATTTTAAGTTAAGGTGGATTGGGGAATATTTGCACAATAAAGAGTCAAACAGTATGACAAAAGGTTGTATTGAACAGTATTAAAGTTGTATGAGGTTACGCTTTTTAGGTCGAAATTGGTCAAAGTGTTCGCTTTTTGTTGTCTAAGGCTGATTTGGAGTTAATTTGCAAAATACCGAATCGGTTTTTATATGTTTAATATCATGTAAATCACTATATCATGTAGGCGAGTGATTGTTTGAGATATTTATCAGGTTTAAAAGTTGAAGAGATCTAAATTCTCGGAATCAGTATTAATAATGCATGCAACCAAAGTGTATTACATTATTAAAATAAAAACAAAGGAAAAATAGTACAATAAAGATTCATAAAGTATGGCAAAAGGTTGTATTGAGCAGTAATAAATTTTAATGAGGTGACGATTGATAGGTGGCTTTTTAGGTCAAAATTGGTAAAAGTATTCGCTTTTCACTGTCTGAGGCTGATTTGGAGTTCATTTCTTCGTTTTCCAAAACCCTAGAAAAATTGTCATGTATTTTCATGATGTATTTTTTTTCTTTTTTTTTTACATCGTTCAAACAGCTTGTTAATCTGTTCTATTGCGAAATGTATTCTCGGAAGTGGCTTCCTTATTTGGTCATTATTTACTGTGAATTTGAAAGTGCTGTGTGGCAGAATTTTGAAAAGCTTTGCACTTGTTCAAGATGTCGATATCTGAAGCCGATTTGGAGCTTATTTCTGCTGGTTTGGCGGCTGTTCTCGGCTATCAAGTTGYCCCACCRAGTCDTGGTCTTGGTTTGCCTAAACTTAACGTTGAAGAAGTGTCTAAGGAGTAACACTTCTTGGAAAAATGCAGAGAATAAAATCTTTTGTTATACCTAAAATTTTATATCGTGCTCTGACTTTGACTTGTGATATGGAAATTCTTCACAAAATCAGTTCATTTTTACCATTTGTGGGACAAAAAGAAAGTTAAAATTATACGTAAAAACTTTAATTAGGCCATAAGAGAAAGGTTGACTAAATATTATAGATTTAGAATCTGATGTAAAAGCACAGAGAATAGCTAGTTTAAAAAATATATTCTGAATTTTGAAAATGACTGGATAAAAAAATTCATCCAATCACATGTAGATATCACAAATCAACGTCTTTGGAACAAATGTATTTGCGTTTATAAAAAGTCGTTTTTTTGTAGAAAGTCTTTATGGAAAGGAAATCAAAAACTCAGCTATCTCACTGTTTTGTTAGCGTGGCAGTGTTATTTGTTTTGTTTAAATATATACTAAATGTAAAAATTTATTTAAACATAATGTTAATACATTTATATGAATCTTCTTCTAGAGAGGCACACATAGTGTACACTCTCATTCCGTTGTTAATTGATGTAAGGAAAAAATCTTTATTGCAACATACCTGCCTGTGCTACTGCTAAAGATATTCTGTGAATCGGTATTATTTTGGTCACTATTGACTGTGAAAGTGAAAGTAAAACTTAAAGAGCTGYGTGGGAGAAGTTCCAAGAACTATCATTATTAAGTATTTTGGGCTGTGTTTGAAATTGCTGATGATATTCTCGGAATTGGCTTCCTCATTGGTCATGATTAAYTGAACAGTATTAAAGTTGTATAAGCCATGACGATTGACAAGTGGCTTTTTAGGTCGAAATTGATAAAAGTATTCGCTTTTCGCTATTGTCTGAGGCTAATTTAATTGGAGTTTATTTTTTTCGTTTTTCAAAGCCCTAGCAAAATTGCCATTATGTATTTTCATTACGCTTTTTTTCCCTTTTTTTACATCGTTCAAACAACTTGTTTATCTCTCTACTATTGCGAAATATATTCTTGGAAGTGTCTTCCTTATTTAGTCATTATTGACAGCTGTGAAACTGAAAGTGCTGTGTGGCAGAAGTTTGGGAAGCTTTGCGCTTGTTAATGATGTCGATGTCTGAGGCCGATTTGGAGCTTATTTCTTCTGGTTTCACGGCTATCCTCGGCTTCCAAGTTGTACCACCGAGTCGTGGTCATGGTTTGCCTAAGCTTACCGTCCAGGAATTGTTTAAGTGCACGTACATTCCAAGTTCAATGCAAGGCAATAACCCTGGGGAAGTGTTTGATATTAATGTAAAATGTATAAATGGTTGGCAAATAACAATACAAGTAACAAACGACCACACCATCGCTAATATCAAGGCTGACATTGAGATTAAGCACAACATCCCCTCGAGGGACATCAGACTGATGTTTGATGGGAGCGCTGTGGAAGATCACCAAAGTGTACGAGACATCGGCATTCCAAGGGGTGGGAGATTGTTTTTGATGTTACGACTTAGAGGTGGTGGACCTGCTTTTCAGTTGGACCCTGATTTATTGGACGCACCGCACTCCTTTGATTTTACCTACGTTAGGGATGATGGAAGAGTTTATTATCGAGGTGGAAAGGAGTACAAGAGGCCATATGGATGGAAGAGGTTTGCCTTGAAGGTTCTTGACCGATATGAAGATAACACTTGGCTTGGACCAGACGGATATCGAACACAGGATGCCCCAGGTGAATGGCCTGTAAGCTACCACGGGACAAACATACAGTCTGCCCGAGCAATCATGTCTTCTGGATACCGTCCCGGTCCGCGTCAAGCATTTGGTAAAGCGGTCTATTCCAGTCCTTCCATTGACATGGTTGAGGAGCGTTACGCACAAACCTTTGAACATGAAGGCAGCACTCATAAAGTCGTCCTTCAAAATCGTATCAATCCTTCTCCAGGCCACTTTGTTGTCATCCCTGCAGAGCAGACAGGGACTGGGGCCGAGTATTGGTTATCGCCGATGCATGACACAGAGAAGAACATTCATGATATAAGGCCTTATGGTCTGTTGTTTAAAAATATCGGTAGCTATTGTAACTTACTATAAGCCATCTGAGATGACACATAAACACAGAGACACATTGTTTAAATGGACATTTATGTCAATCAAAAATTTAACGTGCAATGCATATCTACACTAGGCAGGTGCATTTAGTGACTAGAGATGGTTAACAATCTCTAGAAAGGTTTGGAGTATCCAACACTGTCCACTGTAGCTGATTGTATTTTCAGCGATTTTTAGAGCTAGCAGTTTCTAACATAAAGTTACGGTGAGACATCATTTGCAAGGTGAATGATTATTTTAGTTGTTGTTCAAAGTCAAAATTTGAAGAGATCAAAAGTTATAAGTCGAATTCGCGTTATGAATCAAGCTAGGTTTCCGTACGTCGCACTTTCCATGAAATAAACTATATATACACCGAGGAGACAAGGGAAAACGAGCACAATAAAGAGTCATAAAGTATTACAAAAGGTTGTCTATATTGAACCGCATTAAAGTTGTATGAGGTGATAGGTGGATTATAGTTGAAATTGAAGAAAGCCTTCGCTTTTCGTTGTCTGAGGCTGATTTGGTGCCTGTTTCTTCCGTCAGAATCACACTACATATCAATATATATTACTAATACGTATTTTCGTTGCGTATTTTTTTCTTTTTATTTATATCGTTTAAACATTTTGCTCTATCTATGCTACTCAGCGAAATATATTCTCGGAAGTGTCTTCCTTATTTGGTCATTATTGACTGTAAACTGAACTTGACTGTCATAGAGCGGATTTCGTACGAGTGGGACACCGTTACCTCACGGTTACCGCACAGTTAAACCGGACCTGGCTTTCACAATTTTAGTGAACCAATCTGGCACTAGAATTTTTTGGTTACAGTACGATTACGGTCCCAGTATACAGTACCGTCCGTTTCCCACTCATACGAAATCCGCTCTAATATTGACTGAAAGTGCTGTGTGGCAGAAGTTTGAAAAGCCCTGCATTTGTTCAAAATGCCGTTGTCTGAGGCCGATTTGGAGCTTGTTTCTGCTGGTTTGACGGCGGTTGTCGGCTGCTAACTAAGTTGTCCCACCGAGTCGTTGTCATAGTTTGCCTAAACTTACCGTCCAGGAAGTGGTTAAACGCCGGGTACGTGTACACCACGTTTACTAAAAGAATATGATTCTAGCGAAACGTTTGGTATTAATGTGATACGTAAAAATGGTTGTGGAATAACAATACAAGTAACAAACGACCACACCATCGCTGATATCAAAGCTGACATTGAAACCAAACACGACGGCTTCTCGAAGGAAATCAGCTTGATGTTTAATGGAAACCAAGTGGAAGATCATCCAAGTGTCCGAGATCTCGGCATTCCAAGAGGGGGAACACTGCATGTGATCAGTAAAGAAGCGGCAAAAACAGTATAGACCATGAGAAAGAAGATTCTCGATAACACAATAAGCCATTTGGAATCGACACAGAATACAGGCAAGAAAAGGCATGGGGGAAAACTAGAGGTTTACTAGTTGTTTTAACATAAAAATAATCATTTGCGGCCTTATATATACCACGGAAATACAAAGAAAAACGTGCACAATAAAGAGATATAAAGTGTAGGACGCTTAAGTATATTTAACGTGCGGTTCAAGACACAATAGAATTTACGGAAGTTAAAAAGATATATAGTATCTTTACCGACAACGATTGACTTTGAAAAAGGTTTTGATTCTGTGTCGTGGGATATCATACTGAAAGCGTGAAGGGCCTTTGATTTTGGGAACTCTTAAATAAAAATGTCAAAGTATAATGTCCAAATAAAGTTTTTAATACATTTATATGAATCTTCTAGAGAGGAACACACAGCGTACACTCTCATTCAGTTCTAAATTGATTTTGAGAAAAAATACTGCATAATGCGAACAATGAATTCTATTGGCCAGTCCTACGTACTGCTAAAGATATTCTGTGAAGTGGTATTATTTTGGTCACTATTGACTGTGAAAGTGAAATTGAAAGTACTGCGTGGCAGAAGTTTCAGGAGTTATTCATTATTAAGTATTTTTTGTTGATGATATTCTCGGAAGTGTCCTCCTTATTTGGTCATGATTGACTGAACAGTACCGAAGTTGTATAAGATGTCGATTGATAAGTGGCTTTTTAGGTCGAAATTGGTAAAAGTATTAGCTTTTCGTTTTCTGAGGCTGATTTTGGAGTTTGTTTCTTCGTTTTCCAAAAACCTAGCAAATTTGTAATTATGTATTTTCATAACGTATTTTTTTCTTTTTTTTTTCACACTAGAAGATATCACAAATCAACTTCTTTGGAACAAATATATTTGAATTCTTGATAAAAAGTCGGTTTTGTAGAACGTTTTGTGTGGAAAAGGCAAGGAAAACGTCGGCTATCTGTTTTGTTCTCTGGTAGCGTAGTGTTATTTGTTTTGTTTAATAGTCTCCTTCACGGTTACCTGCGCCATCTTGAAGGTAGCCGTGCCTTTGCATCGAAAGCGAGACCACCGTTGAGCGTGCAATGAAACCTTCTTTCACACCTACAGACAATTATTCACAGGTTTCTATCATTGCACGCTCAACGGTTGTCTCGCTTCGATGTAAAGGCACGGCTACCTTTCACCATGGCGCAGGTAGCCGTGAAGGAGACTATTGCACAATAAATGCAAAAATATAAATTGTAAAAATGAAGTTAATAAATACATTTATATGAATCTTCTATAGAGACACACATAGTGTACCATCTCATTCAAATGTAAATTGATCTTTATTGCATCATACCAACAATTTTGTTTGCCTGTGCTACTGCTAAAGATATTCTGTGAAGTGGTATTATTTTGGTCACTATTGACTGTGAAAGTGAAAGTGAAAGTACTGCGTGGCAGAAGTTCTAGGAGCTATTCATTATTAAGTATTTTTTGTTGATATTCTCGGAAGTGGCCTCCTTACTTGGTCATGATTGACTAAACAGTACCGAAGCCACTGTATAAGATGACGATTGGCAAATGGCTTTTTAGGTCGAGATTGATATAATTATTCGCATTTCGTTGTCTGAGTCTGATTTGGAGTTAATTTCTTCTCTTTCCAAAACCCCAGCATAATAGTCATTATGTATTTTCATTACGTATTTCTTCGTTCATTTCTTCGTTAAAACAACTTGCAGTTTATCTTTGCTATTTCGAAATATATTCTCGGAAGTGTCTTCCTTATTTGGTCATCCTTGACAGCTGTGAAACTGAAAGTGCTGTGTGGCAGAAGTTTGAAAGGCTTTGCACTTGTTCAAGATGTCGATGTTTGAGGCCGATTTGGAGCTTATTTCTGCTGGTTTCACGGCGGTTCTCGGCTATCAAGTTGTCCCACCGAGTCGTGGTCATGGTTTGCCTAAACTTTCTGTCCAGGAATTGCTTAAGTGTACTTATGTACCACGTTCAATGGAGGGCATTGACACTGGCGAAGTGTTTGATATTAATGTAAAATGTATAAATGGTTGGCAAATAACAATACAAGTAACATACGACCACACCATCGCTAATATAAAGGCTGACATTGAGATCAACCACGACATCCCCGCGAGGGACATAAGATTGATGTTTGATGGGAGCGCTGTGGAAGATCACCAAAGTGTACGAGACATCGGCATTCCAAAGGGGGGAAGATTGTTTTTAATGTTACGACTTAGAGGTGGTTGTCCTGAATTTCAGTTGGACCCTGACTTATTGGACCCACCGTACGACTATGATTTTACCTACGTTAGGGAAGATGGGAATGTTTATTGTCGAGGTGGAAAGGAGTACAAGAGGCCATATGGATGGAAGAGAATTGCCTTGAAGGTTCTTGGCAAATATGAAGATGACACTTGGCTTGGACCAGACGGAATACGTACACAGGGAGCCCTAGGTGAATGGCCTGTAAGCTACCACGGGACAGACATACAGGCAGCCCGATCAATCATTGCTTCTGGCTACAGGCCCGGTCCATGGTGGTTCATACTTGGTAAAGCGATCTATTCTAGTCCTTCTCTAGACATGGTGGAGCAGCACTATGCAAAAAGCTTTGAACATGGAGGCAACACTTACAAGATTGCCCTTCAAAATCGTATCAATCCTTCTCCAGGCCACTTTGAAGCCGTTCCTGCAGCGAAGACATGGACAGGGGCCGAGCATTGGTTATCGCCGAAGCATGACACAGAGAAGAACATTCATGATATTAGGCCTTATGGTCTGTTGTTTAAAAATATCGGTAGTTATTGTAACTTACAATAAGCCATCTGAGATAGACACACAACATAAACGGAATAAGACATAAGTGGGAAATTGCACATGTCCGTTAGAGATATCATCTGTGATAATGGACTCTTATTGCAATCCATAAACTCAAGTGTGCAAAGTATATTTTACAGTAGCCAAGTGCACTTAGTAACTCGAGATTGTTAACAATCTATAGATGGAACGCGAGTTGGTAGCATATCCAGTGTAGCCGATTGTATTTATAGCGATTATTATAACTAGTTGTTTCTAATTTAAAGTTAAGCTGGATCAAGGAAAATTTGCAAAATACTTAATCGGTTTCATCATGTAAATCACTATATCACAGTATAGGGAGTGATTGTTTTAGTTGTTGGTCAAGTTTAAAAGTTGACGAGACCGAAAGTTCTAAGTCGAACTTTGCGTTCTCGTCGTCAGCGAGTTAAATATAGCGCTTTTCATCTCATACGATCGAAATAAAAAAACTTAATTCTCGGAATCAGAATTAATAATGCATGCTAGAGTGGGTTTCATTAACCCGCAAACCGAAGTGTTGTCAGGTGTAATACATCATAAAAAATAATAATAAAAGGTGCACAATAAATAGTCACAAAGTATGACAAAAGGCTGTATTAGTGAAGAGTAGTTGTATAAGGTGACGACTGATAAGTGATTTTTGGTCCAAATTGGTGAAAGGCTTCGCTTTTTGTTGTCTGTGGCTGATTTGGAGCTCATTTAGTCCGATAACAAAATCACAGCATTACATGAAATAATGTTCTTGGAAAAAATGTATTATGTATTTTTATTACTTTTTTTTCTTACATCGTTGGGTTACCTGTGCTATTTCAAATTGTATTCTAGGAAGTGGCTTCCTTATTTGGTCTTCCTTGACAGCTGTGAAACTGAAAGTGCTGTGCGTGTATAATTATTCGCTTTTCGTTGTCTGAGGCTGATTTGGAGTTAATTTCTTCTCTTTCCAAAACCCCAGCATAATTGTCATTATGTATTTTCATTACGTATTTCTTCGTTCATTTCTTCGT